CAAAGCCTTCTGGCTGGGGAATTCTGGGAGTTGAAGTCCACCCATCTTAAAGCCTGCTGGCTGGGGAATTCTGGGAATTAAAGTCCACCCATCATAAAGCATGCTGGCTGGGGAATTCTGGGAGTTGAAGCCCACCCATCTTGAAGTTGCTAAAGGTGGAGAAACACTGGCTTAGCATGTCGTTCTACACCAAGGGTCCTCCAACTTGGCAAGTTTAAGACTTGTGGACTTCAATTCCCAGAATTCCCAAGCTAACATGAGTGGAGGAAGAATTCTGGGAGTTGAAGTCCACCGGTCTTAAAGCTGTCAAGTTTTGAAGACCCCTGTTATACACAATTATAACATACTGTCACACTCAATATATTATGGTAGACAAAACACAGCTCAGAAAAAAACAACTATTCTAAATATGCACGTTGGCAGCATTCCCACACGATGCTAGGCCATTATTTTCATCACTTTCTTGTATAAGCCAGGATGGTCTCTCTCTTCCAACCCCCGCATTGGCCAAAAACCAACAACAGATTTTTGAATAAAACCCCAAACCGGCCACATTATAGCTCAATATTCCATATAAAGAAGAGACTGTGAAGAAGATGAAGTGGAATTCTGAGATTGATGGGCCTGAAGGAAGCCAGACTGAATTAAATCTGAATTAAGCGAAAGGGACTGTTTTTTTAATTAAAAAAAATCACTTTCTCTCTCTCTGTTTACAGGCCCTTGTCAAATATTTAAATGACCGCGGAATCCTCCTCTTCCTCACCTCGTCCGTCTTGGCGAACGAGAAAGGTAAGAAGGGAAACTGGGGCCGTCAAATCCAGGTGAGTCCGTCCTGGAAGATTCAGGTGCAGAACGAAAAACATGGTGCCTCGTTTTCTCTTTTTTTTCAGACGCCGAAGCGAACGACTTGGGGTCCCTCCTAGCTTTATTTTTATTTCCATCCCCAGAGCTCAGACATTTAACAGGTAAATATTTGTTTCTGCAAATGCTGGGAATCACTTCATTCCCCCATCATCATTTTTGCCTTCCTTTCTTCTTTTTCTTATATTTACCTCTTTATTTATCTACTGGAATTTTATTTCACTTCTGTTATTTTTATAAATAAGTCAAGATGGTGAACGTGCCTAATCATCCCTTTTTCCTCCTGTTCTCCTGGCA